GATCCAGAGACACCAAACGATTGTAATTTTTTAAAAAGAATTAAATCATTAACTTGATCAAAGATTTAGAAAAATCGGTGTAGATTATATCAGTTTGTGCGTTAGATTCAAACAAGTGGAGTATTATGTTTTTTGTTATGGCTAATGCCTAATTATTATGAAGATTGTGGTTATTTATACAAAAAAAAACTAAATATGACCGTAAATAGTTCAAAACAAATCAAAATATTTTAAAAATGATATCGTCTATTGGAAATTCTAATATAAGCAACTGGTGAAAATTTCATTTATATACGGTCATTTGTTTTAGAGAACCATCAAAAACCAAAATTAATTTTTTCAAATTCCTATTTTTCCTTAATTTTTATTTTGTTTTCTGACGCTTTTGAAAACTATTGGGAGTTTTAAATTTTGACCTACTGAATGCTCCAACTAGAATCACTTTCTCATCAAACAATGTACTGTTGAAAAAAATCCATATTGACCAGAGTAGTAAATTAGGAAATACATAATACTAAAAAAATATAATTATAAAAAATAAAAATATGAGTGTGATTTCATTAGGTACTTAATAAAGCTCAAATAATATAAAAACAAATAGGTATCAATTAAAATAAATTAATACTATTATTTTTCATACTTGAGTGCATAAGTTTTTCATAACAAGCTGGGTTCGGATCTTATAGCAATTGCATCCTTTTTTTATTTATTGTAAAATATAGAAGTGTGCAAAATGAATTTATTTGGTCATAATATCAAATTTGAAAATTAAATGTGCATATTTTTACATACCAGTATAAACAATTAATATAAAAATGAGCGTCGCGGACAACAACCCTCTTCTATAGATAACTTAATTATTAAATGTTAAAAAAATAAATTATAACAGTATTATACATTTTAAATTCTATGTTTTCTAATTAATTTAAGCTGTTCTATATTAATGGCTAAAATTGATCACTAATTTAACATAGATTTTCTTAAATAGTATATAATATACCCTGTAAAGCAAAAGAACACACCAATTCTGAGCGCCCCTATTCAACACCCTGCCACCGAGTTTTAAACTAACCACGGCAGCAGTGGCGCAGTGAACGGTAATTTCAGAGGCAATTGAGATTTTTCTTAAATAGAGGGCGGGTGCTTGCTGGTGGAGTCCCCTAGTAAATGTAATATGATATACTCAATAGGTAGACAATAATAATCTAAAATATAATTAGTTATATTATATGTATTAATACATTATTATGTACTAATACTTGGGATATTTGTCACTTGCCTCTGGAACATTTTTAGTTCACCATGGCACTGCATGGCAGAATGTTGAGTGGGGGTGCGCAGAAGATGATCAAATTGTTGTCAAGCAGCAGCATATTTTTTGTCTGAGCAGAGTATAATATAATATATTTAATTTTTTATCTCACTAGCTGTCTTTGTATGAATAAAAATAATTTAGGCCTTTAATTACCTACATAATATAATAACTAGTTTTAAATTTAAAATTTAAAATAATGAAATAACTAAATGTGAGTATTAATAAAATAACACTTTATTTTATATCTGTAAATATAATTCGACGGTTAGAAGGCTGTTTGGCGTAAGCACTAAGCATCATAATATTATTATGCAATATTGAAATATTATTATTATTATTAAGTTCTTATTTACAGGTGATTTTATTTTATTATAAATGCAGGGATGTTTCCACATTTTAATTAAAGACTATGTTATTTTTTTTATTTAAAAGATAATTTTATAATAATTTATTACCTAGTCAAGCGTACACTGAAATAATAACTAACTATGCAGGACAAAATAATTATGTTTTCATGTAATAAAAGTAATGTTACAGTTTTCATTTTTATTAAGAAAAGGTATTTCTACTATTTGAATTAATTATTATCTTGATACAACAATTATTTGTTTAGTATTAGTTGAAAATATTGTTACATGTCGTAATAATTTTGCTATGAACTATTAATTAAAAAAAAAATTAAAATTCAATAATTTGGCGTAAGCGCCTTTTTTTTTTTTAAATAGGCCGTAAGCGACAAAACTTAAGTTAAAATTTAAAATAAAATTATTTTAAGTATTATTATTATACATGAATAAATGTTTGGTATAGTTACAACAATAAAAATGATTGTTCATAAATGTAGAACAACGCAAATCTCCCTTAAATGGTTTTTGGGGTCTCCTGAACAATTTGGTGTATGGTGCTTACGCCAATTAGCCTGCAAACAGTCGATATATAAACTCATTACCTATTTTACCTATAGCTTTCTAATTTTTTTTAATAGGTATGGTTTCAACTAAATGGCCTAAGAGGCATGGATTGAGCATTGTTAATCTATAATATATTTTTTCTATTACCTATGTAACACAATTAATAATTAAATATTACAAAATATGGAACATGATATCTTATATATAAATGGTATGTCTGCGTTTTATTACTTGGTATTATGTTTATGTTAAGTCAATTATCGACGAACATGTGTAACCAACGCAATATTAATGTGTCAACACGGTTGCCAAAATAAAATATGACATTTAAAATAACAATATATTGTGTATTTAGCATAATATTAAACATTCGTTTAAAATCTAATATTTCATAATACGTAGCATATTCAAACAAAATTATAATAGTTATGTTTATATTTTTAATTATTAATATTTTAATAATATCAGTAACAAAAATTGAAAATACTTTATTGGACTTAACTAGAAGTAAATACTAAAAATAGTCTATCGATAAATCACTATAAAATTATATAATATTAAACATAGGTACCTATTATCTACCTAATTGCATTACACAATAATTCTTGATAATTTAATATTATTTAGATTTACTTCTAGTGAAACTTAGCGATACTTGGATCTTAGATTCACTAGTACATATTTATGTTTTGATAACTTCATAACTAGATATTAACTTTTAAGTTAAAAGTAATATATAAACATGAACCATTTAGCTCTTGAGTTGACAGCGAATGTACACATATACTGACATATTGCACAAATATGAATAACCAACGAGCCATCATAAATATTAATAACATTTTTATGTCATTACTTAAAGAAGAGGAAGAAGAAGACAATATGATAGAATCTTTAATACTGAATAAGAAAATAAAATCCACAAAACCCTTGTTTTTAATGAGGGTACTGGGAGGATTTTTTGAAAAATCAATCTAAGGGCATTTAGTGAACGATAAAAATTATTTCGAGATCTTTTTAGATTAAAATTAAAACAGTTTAATTTTGTTTTGTCACTAGTGAAAAATGATATACACCTGAAGAAAAATTAGCATTAATATTGAGGAAATATCATAGGTAGTCCTACGGGTGCAGCATCTGCACCAGACATTTGAACCACCACTTTATTTTATTGGTTGAAATCATATAATTATTCATAAATCATAAGGTAGATATTTTATAATTTATATGTCTTGGTTATTTCAAGATCTATTGTTCTGATCATGAACTTTATTGTTAGTTGCAGTGTTACTCATTACTTTTTGAATGAAATAGTAACATAACGTGATAAAAATAATGTCAGGTAACAAGAATGTAATTTAAATAAAAATATTTAATGTAATGAGTAACGTAATTGAGTTTCTTATCATAAGTAATTTATCCAACACTGGATAGTTGTTAGCTCGTAGTTCTGATGATCAAGCCAGAATTAAGGTGAGGAAGACCCTAGGCCTAAGCTAACAGCGGTATTTATATAGTCACAATCACATCTATAATTATCATACAAAGAAAAACCAAGTTTGGAGGAAAGGAAATTACTAGTTTACTACTTTTAACAATTATATATAATAGTCTAAAGTAAATTATGGTTCATTGATACTCAGTAAATCTAACTAGTAAGTTCGTACAGATTCCCGATACCCATAACATTTAGAAAATAGCCATCTATGCTGCACCTGAAGTAAAATATTGGGACCACCTATGGGTAATATAGTTTATATATTCAAATAAATAAATTATGACTATTTTATTAGATTTATAAATTAATGAAATCACAATTTATTTTAAAATAGGACAAAGTAATTAAATTGATAATTATTTATTTATTTATGTATAATAAACCCGAATAAACCTTTTATGTAAGCAATACAGTTTTACATTTTTTAAGTATTTTACAGTAAGAACTAAAATTAAAACAATAATAATGAAAATACAGATACAAAATAATAATAATTTGACAATGATAAATGTTAATAGTAACAAAGAACACTAAATGACAAAATCACTCAATATAAATATAAGATATAAAAACTAGATTTAAAACAGAATTACTCGATATAATAAAAAAAAAAAATTGTATAATTATGTGTAATAGTTAAAATATAAAAAAAAAAATGTAATATATGAATCCAAATATTAAAAAATATGAAACCAGAAACTTTTTAACACATTAGAGGCCCTTCATGTTTACTTTTCATATCTGACTAATGATAAAAAATTAATCGATATCAAAATAAGTTGGGTGTTCAAAAAAAGTCGATTACAAGGTTAAGCAACAATAGGTGTAATTTCTGTTACAGAAATTGTGAAGCTATAATATTCGGTTATAAAACAATAGTAGATACATTAATAAATGAGATTAAAAATTAATCTGATAAATATACAAATGAAGCTAATGGTAAATATTTTGATAAATGCGTTTCATGTTTTAATATATTATAGATTATAATATAGATACGTGTTGTTAATTTGAAGTTAATGTGTACGGTACCTACTATTCATTATTATTTTTCAGGAATTTTAACATAAGAAAAGGACAATTCATTGTATATTTGTTTCTTTTGCATACATTTTTAACAATATTTATTATTTTAACAAGAAAATTGCAAGAAAAATCTTGAAGAAGTAATTTTTTAGGTAATGCGTACCGAAGGTAATATTGATATTATAGAGGTGGTGTGCTATTAGGACGGCTTATTGAGCAAAGAAACATTTAAGCCAGCCCTAAAATTCAATCATATTTCAGTATCAAAATTATATGGAGTTAATACAGGTTGTAGTGGTGCTGGATTATAGGGAATTAAAGTTGGTCGAATATCTGGGGCTCATCCTCTACTAATTTCGAAATAATCATTAAAACTTTTACCTTGGCCTCAATTATACTTATTTCTGGAAATGTTTTGATTATTTCCGCAACTCTTTTAAAAAAAAAATCCACATCATTGTGTCTCTTTTCTTGTTGACTAAGAAAATTAGTATCTCTTTCTTTCAACCGTTTAGCTAATACCACTACTATATTATCTGCATTCGGCCTTACTCTCTTACCGATATATGACTTACTTGTACCGGCCACACTAGTTTCAGAATTTGGGTCAATATCTTCAATTTCATCTACTTTATCTTCAGCATGAATTTCATCAACCAATGGTGAAAATACAAATTTACTAAAATAAAAATTTAATTGAGTTAATTAAAACACATTTTGGATTTAAGTATATAAATAAAGTATATTAAAAATGTATTATTTCATTATAATATTATGTTGTAAGTATAATTTAAAATAATGTACCCACCTTCGTTGAAAGTTGACTGCATCCAGGTAGTGTTCTACATTTTGCGCTGAAGGACCAGGTTTTTTTATTGCACTTTCAGATCCTGTTATAAAATAATTAGAACTCATCAGAACATATTATCTTTTGAACATCCAGAATAATCAAAGTAGGAATGGAACATTGAAGGATTAATATTAGAACAATTGGTGTTATTTGGATACCTAGTTTTTTTTTACTTTTCATGTATGTGTCTCTTATATTTCTATAACTTTTTTTACAATCATTCACTAAATTATATTCAATAATAAGTTAAACTAATATATCACGAAAGTACAAAAGTTGTACATATTAGTATAGATGGGGCCAGAGTGGCGCAGTGGTCACGCAGTTGACTACGACTCACACAGTCATCGGTTCGATTCATAGCTCAGTGCAAAATAAATTTGTGTGGTTCTACGCGATCACCATTTCCCCCTGCTGTCGTCCGATTGCGTCATCTGGTTTCCAACTAGGTCCCACTCCACTGGGAGTGAAGACCGCACATGCCTCCTCTTGCAGGAGAAGGGGGGGTAGTATCATGCATATAGTGATATATACATAGATAAATAGATCACATGATCTCCCTACTACCCACTTGTGATAAGCATTGACGAAGACGTAGAGGTCGTTTCAATGAACAAAAAAAAAAATATTAGTATAGGTATTTTTACATTTTTGTTCCAGGAATCCGTTCCTTCCCAACACTGTCACATTCTAGTATACCTAATCGTCTAACGATGATATCAATTACAATTTTTTGAAGTGCATTTCCAGCAGTTGTTTTAGTTATTATACTTTTTAAAGTATGTTGAAGGCCCCTTACTAATGGATTGATTGAAGAAAGTGTTGGATAAATTTCACCAGATAACTCAACTGTCATGATGTCAAATGGTTTTAATATAGGTAGACAATCAGTTATTAATTCCCAATATAGTGTAGTTAAAAAGGCTGGTGCATGGGGAAGAAATGTCATAGCTTCCGACAAAGGTGCTTTAATTTGTATAAAGCTATCTAACATATGAACACTCAAATTCCATCTTGTACTCACATATTGTATTACTTTTAGTACAGGAAGTCCCATTTGTGTTTGAAGTTCTTTTAGTTTTTCAGACGCAAAGACACTATGTTTAAAATGTCCTAAAAATGTGTGACATTTTTTTTAAAAACCTCCAGTAGATCTTTATTCGACATAATTGCTTCGTTTAAACTTAAATTGAGTGTGTGTGAGACACATGGGTGGTGGTGGTGTTTAAAAAGGTGTACATTTATAGCGTTTTTTTATATTAGCTCCGTTGTCCAAGACTATAGTTACTATTTTATCTTTAATGCCCCATTAATTAAAAATATCTGAAAGCAAATTATCTATGTTGACACCAGTATGAGATTTGCACATTTTTCTAGTTGCCAAGGCAGGTGAATATAGACGATCATCAAATATAAAATGACAAGTAACTGTTAAATAAGCTATATTATTATCAGAAGTCCATATATCAGTTGTAATTGACAAACTAGCTACATTTTCCAACATTGTTTTTGATACTGTAACAATCTTATTGTATTCTTGTAATAATTTTGTAGTTAATGTTTTCCTACTGGGAACCTTATATAAAGGTTGCAATTTTTTTAGAATATTCTAAAAACCCACTGTTCTCAACTAACGATAGAGGTTGGTAGTCAGTAACAATCATCTTCATTAAACTTTCATCTATGGAATTTTCTACTTAATTTTTTAAATTGTCACCTTCAGTCGAACTATATAATTTTGATTGGCAACAACGTTTAGGTGCAGGAAGAAAGCAGGGTTCAGTTTGTTGTATATTGTTGGAATTATTAGAAAACGAAGTAGACGGTCCGGGTAATAGATTCAAATCAAATTCTTCTTCATTATTTAAAACAGGTGTAATGTGTGATGGATGAATTCTTTTCAAATGTTCTTTGGATAAAATAAAAAAAATGTAAGGAAATTAATCAAATTATGAAAAATATTTAGGAAGCTTTGCACATTTTGTACATTTTTTTTATGTTCTAATATTCTAGATTACGCGACGACTCAGGTTACTCAGGAAACTTGCTATAAATTGGTACGAAAATTCGATTTTTTTTTCGACTACTAATCATTCGACCCGTCATTCGATTATTCGATTATTACTTTTTTCGATTATTCCCATCACTAAAAATGTTGTTAATAGTTACTTACCTACAGGTTGATTGATCTTTGCTTTAGTTTCTAAATTATCATTTGTCTTTTCACTAGTTCCAGGCCGATCGTTCAGTGGTTCAGTGTTATTACCATCATAGTTTGTCGTTTCACTAGTTCCATCGCACGCGTTTTGTTGTGTTCTTCTTATTGTACTCGCCATTGCTTTAGTGGTGTTGTAAAATGATGCAATGTCAAAATGGAGCAGGAATAGAGTATAGACTGTTGCTAATTGTGTTAGACCTTACGGCTAACAGAATATACTATATAGAGACATGGAGTACAAAGTTAAAAGACATTAACTCTAACCTAACATAACTTAACAGTTGTCAGTTACACTTGTTGCTTATAAACGCCGTTAAGGCCAATGACTCTCATTGGACAGCGGTCGAGCTGCCGCAGTGTTGCCATATCTGAATAGTTGACGATTGGGGGAAAATTTATGAAATTACAGTATGAGGACCGTACACCGGTTTTTAAAGAATTATCGTATCGAAAACCGATGGACCGTACAACAGTTAATTATTTTATTCATCTTTTTTTTTTACATACAAGTATATAACAGGATCTAATAATCCATTAGGTATTAATAGAAATGTTGATAAAATTACATTTTCACTTTATTTTTTAATTAAACGTTTAATTGGATTAATCATATTTATATGAATATTTTTTATTTTAACATTAATTTTCCCTTATTTATTAAATGATTATAATAATTTTATTATAGCAAATTCAATAATTACACCTAATCACATTTAACCAGAGTGATATTTTTTATTTTCATATTTAATTTTAAGAGCAATTCCTAATAAATTAGGGGGATTTATTGCTTTAATATTATCAATTTAAATTTTATTGATTATACCTATATTAAATAATAAAAACTTTAAGGAATAAATTTTACCATATAAAAAAATTCTATTTTTAATTTTTATTATAATATTTTTAATATTAACTTGCATTGGTTTACAACCGGTTGAATATCCTTTTATTTTAACAAGTCAAATTTTTACAACACTTTATTTTTCATACTTTTTTTTTTATTAATTTCTATATTATAAAAATATGAGATAAATTATTAATTTAAAAATCCTTTAAGAATTTATTAACAATCCAAAAAATGCATGTATTTTCTTAATTAAATAAAATGTTAAAATAAAAAAAAAATAATTTATATAGGTATACAATAAAAATATGATTTAATATTATTAAAATATACAATTTTTAATTAAAATAATAATTAAATATACCTTTATATAAAAATCATTAATTAAATAAATAATTAAAATAATAATCTTATTTTATTTTATTTAATCCGGTTTATACATTTTACCCTCTTAAAATTTAAATTAAACACTAAAACTCGTATAAATAAAAATAAATTTTCAAAATTTGAAGGTGAAAATCATACACAATTATGTAGTTATACCCAAAAATTCCTAAAAAAAAAAATTTTAGTTAACGAATAATGATGAAAAATTGAATAAAGAATTTTTATTTTTGCTAATTTTAAAATATCAAATTATACAAATTTTAATAATTTTAATCAAATTTTTTTAATAAAGAAAGTAAAAATACAAATTTTCAACATATTTTTCTTATTAATGGATATTTAGTACATATGGATTTTATTATAATTTTTTTTATAACAATACCAATTGTAATTGGTGGATTTGGAAATTGATTAATCCCTATAATAATAGGATGTCTTTATATATCATTCCAACGTTTAAACAATAATAGATTTTGATTACTACCTCCATCATTAATAATAATAATTTGTAGTTTCTTAATTAATAATGAAACAATAACAGGATAAACTATTTATAAACCTTTATCAAATATTATTGCACATAATAATATTGCAGTTGATTTAACTATTTTTTCATTACATTTAGCAGGAATTTCATCAATTTTAGGAGCAATTAACTTTATTTGAACAATTTTTAATATAATACCAAATAACATAAAATTAAATCAAATTCCCCTTTTTCCTTGATCAATTCTAATTACAGCTATTTTATTAATTGTATCTTTACCAGTTTTAGCTGGTGCTATTACAATATTATTAACTGATCGTAATTTAAATACATCATTTTTTGATCCAGCAGGAGGAGGAGATCTTATTTTGTATCAACATTTATTTTGATACTTTGGACATCCTGAAGTTTAAATTTTGATTTTACCTGGATTTAGATTAATTTCACATATTATGTCAAGAAAGAAACAAAAATGAAACATTTGGAAATATTAGAATGATTTATGATATATTAACTATTGGATTATTAGGATATATTGTATGAGCTCATCATATATATTCACAATTTATTGGTATAGATGTTGATACACATCAGCAACAATAATCATTGCTATTCCTACAGGAATTACAATTTTTAGATGATTAGCTACTATTTATGGATCTAAAATTAATTTTTCACCTTCAACAATTTGATCACTAGGTTTTATTTTCTTATTTACAATTAAAAAATTCAGTGCAGACTTGCGCAGTTTAGATTAATTCTTTAGTACACATAATATATTACGAACCATACTTAGTATAAAATATTACATTAGCTATTAATTGTAGCAGTACCTCGTCACAAATTATAATATTTATTCTGCATTGAATATATCAAAAAATACAAGAATACAGTCCACTCAAAATTATTTCCTCGCCGTAATAACTTTGAAAAAATAATAATTGCGAGGTATAACCTTATATGCGCAAACTATAACAAATTTATATAATATAAGTTATTATTAATCATCAATATACTGTACCAAATTTGAAATAATTTCACTTTGAAGGACGATTTTCTGTTTTTTAGGTATATGTTTCATAATGTTAATAATATATTTAGCAAAACTAGTGTCTTCATTATCAGCTTCTTGAGGCTGTTCATATGGTTGTGGTGGTATTTTTCTGGATGCTTGAATTTCATTTACGGTGCCTTCCTGAAAGGATGATTCATCTCTCTTCCCTTTTAAAATAGACATGAAATAACTAAGATGTTTGTTACATGGTTATCGTAAATATAAATTAAACATTAAATTACTTTTACATGGTGTAACTTCTGAATCTGGAATTTCAAAAGTAAGTGAAAAGTTGCTGGAGGTTCTAAGGAATAATACAACTTTGTTTTAAATAAGCAATTTATAATAAGTAAGATACAAGTAATCTACTGCAGTAGTATACAAAGGACAGGTATATTGATATTTGGATATTGTGGACATACATACTACAGACAGTCGATACTTTGTTTAATAATTATTTATATTACACACAAACTGTAACATTACTTTAAAATGAATCATAATACAGCTATCATTAATCATTTAGTAATGAATTTAATTCCTTCTTTGTTAATTTAGGCAAAAACATTGAGAATAATATTTTAAAAAGAAAATCTAATGAACAAAGCTACGATACTCAAAATGTTAATTGTCATAAAAATAAATCCATATTTTTTAATCAAATTAGAAAAGTAAAAATAGAAAAATATATAAATAAGCTTAAAGATCATACATCTTATTTTTAAAACAATATTTCTAACTTCTACTAAAAAATACAATTCTTAATATTTCAGATCCTTTAATGATTATTTTTAATTTATCATTATCTACTTTGGTTAATACAACTCAAGCTTTAAAAAATGTGAAGTTATTCCTATTTTTAAAGCAGGTAATAGATAACCGATCACTTTGAACTTAGTAAAACTGAAAAATATGTAAATTGTACTTGTAAAACTACCTATTGATAAAGTCGATAACATAAAATATCTAGGTTTAGATATGGATAGCAACTTAAAATGGAGAAAGCATATTGACTATGTTAAATCATGTGTTAGACAATTTTTCTTTATTTTTAGGAACATAGGAGATATAGTAGACAAAAAATATTTAAAAATAATTTATCTTTCATTTGTATAACCAGTTATTACTTTTGGTATAGAAATATGGGGAGGAACATTTAATACTCATTTAATTAAGCTAAAAACTACTTTAAATAATATAATAAAATAAATTCTAATGTGTTTATACTCCAGATCTCATTTAAAACGTTTTAGTAGTGTTTGACTTTGATAAATTATTTAAGAAAAACTTACTTTTACTAGCTTATAAAAATAACAAACTTCACACCTAAATGTAAGCATAGTTAACTATAATACTAGATATAAAATAAATATTAATGTACCTACTTAAGAAAAATTGTAAAAAAATTATTCGGATTAAGAAGTTGCATCAATAACGCAATATAGTTATGTATCACATTAAATATTAATTTAAATCTATATCAAAATATTTATTGTTTAAAAAATGTTTTACTCAATTAAATTAAATTTAAGTCAATTTTGTAATTGTTTATTATATATTTATTTTATGTTCTTTATAAGTTAATTTTGTCTAAAAGTTTACTATCAATCATTGTAATGGGAAAAATGTATGGTAAGATTAGTATATTTACTTTTTATTTTTTGTGCTGACATCATCCAAAAACTGCAAAGATTGCATATGTACCCAACTTTTTCTTTTTTCACTACCACTGCCACTTTTTGGTTTTTTATTTTCTCTATTATATTTTTCCCTTAAATATCTCCATTTATTTTTTAAAATATCAATAGAATATTCACCTGTTGATATATTTTATTAAGTATTAAATTAATTAAAAATACATTTATGGTTTAAACACGTATTTTAGATAGTCAAACAATCATACCTTTTAATTCGGCATATACTTCACTCCACAACAATTTTTTTATGGGTTCGAATCTAGCTGATAATGGAACCCTATAGTCCCACAAAGGACGACGTTGACGAATTGAACTAATTAATGTTGACAACATTTCTGAATCATCGTCATCATCATGTTCTGGTTCTTTGCTTTGCGTTTCTAAGCACACTTCAACTACTTCTTCAAGAGATTCTGTTTCATGTGTATTATTTAAAATATCATCATTAAATGATCGAAAAATATTTGTTGAAATGGGTGTCCGTTGAGCTAAAATAAGATATTTTAAATGATTATCTGTAATAACAGTAAAAACAATTTTACAACAAAATATTTTCAAATTATTGTCATCTTACTTTTTGGTTTTATCACTAGGAACGCTGGGTGTTCAGCTTGAGTTAAAAGAAAAGAAACAAGTTATGCAAACATATAATTTTATCATTATTACATTTTTTACTATATAATAAACACTTAAATCTAATAAGCATAGGCGTGCAAAGATTTCAGTTTCAGGATAGGGTACTATTTTAAGTGACCACTCCCCACATCACAAGCTAAAACTGTGTATTTAGTTGAAATTATTTAAAAAAAAATATAAATAATATCCACCAGTATCTAATACTTTACCATTTAATTAAAAAAGAATTTATGTTCAATAACGCAAATGCTAAATACCATGGTCAAGATATATGTCTAGCAGAGATGTGTAAGTTAATGAAACAAATATTTTTTGTTAGTTATGTCAATGTTTAGACCATTAAGTTATAAGCAAAGTTGAAAAGTAAAAAAGTAAATTTTTTTTTAACATTTAAACTTAACTAGTTAAAGAATTCATAGTGATAACTTAGCTATATGCAGTTAATTTTAAACTAATTTTCTAAGTTAAAATCATGTTTAATGTTTGTATATAAGTATTTGTAACTGTAGTTAAAACTAATTAATTACATTTTCAATTACCACCTGGGTGGCTAGATCACATTTATAATGAAACTTTATTTTTTTTTTTTTAAATAATAACTTGGCCAAGAATGCATTCTATCCTATTCCTTCTAGTAACTGTAGTTTATAGTGATTTAATTAGTGATTTAATAAATTAGTTTTATATACAGTTTTAGATACCTTATATGTAAGAACATAATTTTAACTTAATGTATTATTTTTCAAAATAACTGGAAAAAGATTAGTTAATACTTAGGATTTTTTAGCTAGTTGATTTACAGTGTAATGTTAACCAAAAATAATTACCTATGGATTCTTTAAAAGAAAAAGCTATCTATGCTATATTATATTATATTAATTATTGAATTAGCTATTATACATTTTAAAGGTAAGGTAATTATTTATTGAAACTCATGGGATTTTTTTTATATTTTAGTTTTAAAGCGAGTTTTGAAAATTTAAAATTCTATAGTGGTCTTATTATTAACAATTACTAAAAATTTTTAATTATTAATGCTTTAAAATTAAAATGTTAAAAACAGCCTATAAAATGCCCCAGATAATATTCTTCCTTTTAAATTTTATAAATCACTAATTCACTCAGAGTTAATACATCTTATTAGGCCTAAGTACAACATAAATTCCTTTTTATAAATTACCAAATGAGCAAATATGATTTTTATCATTGATTTTGATAATTTGTTTGCAAACATTGCACAGCATTCCCTAAAATCATACATAAATTATATAGTTATTATCCAGATTAAACATTAAGAGGACGTACAAGGGAATTTTTGTATCAGTCTAACCAGTGCATAAGATAACAAATTTATGCTTTGCAAAACACTCGTAGCTTCGTTAGTTTAAACGTTAGAGGGAATTGAAGGGTTCCGTGCAAGAACGAGATAACTCCATTTTTCAAAACTTTTCAGTAAACGATAATGTTATTTTAAAAATATTTAAATAAAGATAAATATAATTTGGAAATTAATTTAGATACATTAGACCACGATAAAAAAGATGCCGTAGTAATTGATTTGATTTTCTTAATTTCTTTGAGATGATAGCTAATATTAACCTACATTTTTGGAGTTATCTTGTTTTTTGACCAGAACCATGTATTTATTATTTATTCATAATTTGTTTTAATACAAAAAAAATATTATTATTCATTCTATGTTTTAGGAATTTGTTTTATTTATTGAAGTATGATTTTATGAATCATATTCAGACAAAAAAAAAAACAAAATCTACTTAAATATTTAACTATACATATCATTTTTGGTAGTATACATACCTACCTACTGGCTACTACTACTCTTCAGTATTTATTTTAACGTTAAAACACTTAAAAGTTAAAACTTAAATAATGTATTATGTATTTGCGTATTAACGTATTTGATAAGTGAAAAACTTTCTGATAATAATTGATAGTACAGAAAACATATTGAACAAAATACAGTGTAGACAACATTCGGAGCAAAAACCAGATAACTCCGGAGTTATCTGGTTTTTCAACGGAAAAAAAAAACCAGACAACTCCATTTACTTTATATCTCCTATACGAATGATCGGAATTGTCTCGTTCTTGCACAGATATTATCTCGTAATTTTTTTCTTGATAATAAACAGCCAAAACTCGTTCTTGCACGGACCCCTTCAATTGACCTACCTACTATGAAACTTGATGGTAAGAACATTATCTGTGTTTGTTCAATAATTCAGTTTTTAAGTGAGTTATGAGCATTTTTAATTTACTGTACATTATATTATATATATTCTAATTCCAACAGTACGTCGCAACGATTACCTCCATTTTCATTCTGTCAAAATATTCTTATTTTCCACAACATTTACTAGGGATCGATCGAGGCACATTTTTAAAATTGTATTTAGTTAATTAAATATTTAAGTTGGAAATTCTGTATTTTTTTTGAATTTTTTACAATTTTTATTGCAATTTAAATTACAAAAATTAAAAATGTGGCTAGATCGTTCTCTTGTATATATTACGGACAATCAGAATATTTTTTCAGAATGAAAATCGTGAAAATTGTCGACACGTATCGTTGGAACTAGGAACAGTAGTTTTTGACAAAAAAAAGACGTGGTATAGTGAGGCCCCTTAATAGGTAAATTCACTTACTATAACTTGGCCCGGCTTCATAGTGTAAATAAACTTTGATCAACTTTTGAAATAATAGAATTTGAAGCCTTGAAGGAATTATTTAATATAATATTAAATTATATTAAAGATTTTTAAATTTGTGGTTGCTGCTATCACCCAGAGTAGACCATTCGAACGGACATAGTTGAAGTAGATCCAACTTCATGGTATACTATATTCGGTGGGAGTTGACCCACCACCCCTTGAGCGGGTGAATACTGAGCCGCCGGATCATTTAGACCCCCGAGTAGCCGACCGGCGGTCTGTGATTGGTCGGTGGTGTTCGGCGGTGTTCGGTGATCGGCAATGCTCGTCCTAACCAGGGATACGAAACTCCGTGCGTTGGCCGAACCAGGCGATTGCGACCTTGAACACGGTCTTCAGGAGCGCGTGGCATACGTGAAAACCCCGCGTCCCATATCCCGCCATAGTGCCGACCCCGCGTCCCGTATCCCGCCATAGTCTTGGAACCAATTCTTAATATACCGGTCTAACATCATGTTGGTGCGGGAACCAATTCCATGTTTTTCGTAGGTTCAGACTTCAGATCATAGGGAACCAATACCCCAATCAGCTGATCGAGTTTCGCTTCTATATTGTTCTGTGTCCTAATACCTAACTCGGGATTTAAATATCACTAAATTTTGTTTCATTTTGACAGAAATTTGATAAGAAGTATTTAGCAGGGCTTGCAAACTTAATAACGGATGATATATTATATTATATTTGACAAATAATGATTGCATTTGTAAACGTAATTATAACGGAAAGCGATAATCAAAAATATTAAATACCGCAAACAAAGGATACCGAATAACAAATATGTAATATTAATATACCATTAAACAAAAATATCTCAAAACGTAATTTATAGAAAAATCATAAACGAAAAATAACGCACAATAAAATTATTTGAAAATTTAAAAGTATATTGTGGTATATTGTGGTTAGTAGAACTATATTTTATTTTATGCTATTTATTTTTGTTTGAGAAAAAAATCTAAGAATTGATTATTTTATATTCCGTATCCGGGACATTACCTGCCCGCATTTTTTTGGAGTTATTGATAACTTTTAAATTGAATTACCAATAGCAAATACCTAGTATAATAATAATAGTATGGGCCCTCCGGCACATATGAATGAAATTTATTTTACAAGGATTTGGGCTTTTATATTTTATTTTTATTTTGTGTCTGCAATCACCTATTAATTATTATGACAGTATAAATGTTCAGATTTCCTATATTATTGTCAATAACTTCAGTGATGTTTATATATATTATTATTATATTATTATGACGCATAAACTCTATATAATCTCGTACATACAAATATACAATTGATAATATTATAGCTATGGCTAGTACATACAAATAACATAATATTATGTGTAATATATTTAATACCATCATAACTGCTGGCTACAAATAATATTTTTATTATTATAGGAAGCTAGTGATTAGTATATTGTTTATTGTTGACAACGATTGTCATTATACACACTGTAAATGTTTAATCGAATAGAATAAAATCGGTTTATTTATATTGTAATATTTCGACAGTGAATATTGTTTCAATAATTTCATCAATAGTCTTAACTTTTTTTTAAAGTTTGGTTATTTATACAGTGTTTAGTAAAGTAAAGTAATGTTTTCAATTAATTGGATTATTTTTCTTCGACTTAAAATAACTATCAACAGTCCAACACAGTACTTAGCACACTAAGTTTCACACGTGAAGTGATATTTCGTCAACCAATAAATTAAGATGTGGCTGCAGGTCGTAGTTATGCTAATGTTATATTTGTAATTATATTCTGTTTTACTTATATTACTTATAAAGTTATAAATAAGTATTAAAAGACGGTAATTATATAGATTTAGGTAGGTAGGTACTAATGCTGCAGACTCTAAAAAATTAAAAATATTTTAGACATTAGGTATAATGTCAGGTCTATATTATAAAATGTAGCCAATGTAGGTATAGGTACCTATTTTAAGTAATTCATTAAGATTTTAACTCATTAGGTTACCTAATTATTTTTGAATTACAACAAAAACATGAATATAAATTGAATTCGAAACTAGTGTTGTAAAAATATTTCCGTTTTACCCCTGTTTTTTGTTGCCTAGTTGTTACCTTTGCTTTGCTTGGGGCAAGGCCGGATTTAGGAATGTGGGGGCCCTGGGCCCACCTTTAGAAGTAGATATTTTTTTCGATTAAGTACATAATATATTTAATAACCAGAATTTTGGTTATGAAAAAACAATGATTTATCGCCTGGTCGGACAGTCAGTTATATTCGACGGACACTTAATTTTTTTACAAATTTTTCAAACACAAATAAAATTTGAAAACAAATTTAAAAAATATATTCCAACAGTTATTAGATAAACTTCTCGTGTTTAATTTGGTATAAAAACTATGTTTCTACGACTTACGAGGCCTGAGTACTATTGGAACTACGAAAACATGTTTTTACGATCTATTTTTTTCTACCTACAGTGACGGCTCTTAACTACTATCGTACGTGCAGGAACAAGTTGTTATTAAACTATTATATTATTGATTATTAAATAATAACTAGGTTTTTATCGAGGTGATTTTGAAAATCTATTTTTCCAGCTGTGCTATCAATAAATATAAAAAACGATCTTTTTTATTTATATTTTTAATCGTGACAACAACAATTTTCGGAATATTAAAAATCACCACTATAAAAACCTAGTAGGTTATCTCGTTAATCAATCTTAATCCTTTTTCAAAATTGAAATCTGTCAAACCAAATTACTACAGTTTTGTCTAGATTTTTGGTCTAAATGCCACTTTTTTACACAGACAGCAGTCCCCTTGATTGAAAATCGTCGAATTACTAAATTTAATTTAATAAAAAATACATTGTACCTACTAACCTGGATAAATATCACGATCAAAATATACTTTATGGTTGAAGCGTGAAAACTGAGTGTACCATCTACCTATTTGTTTTTATTTAGAACTTATTCAGCACGCATTTATTTATAACAGTCCACAGCGGACGGCTTGCTATACAAGTTATAATATGTGTTTATTTATAACTGTTTTTAATTAAAATATCTACAAGTCTACAAGATAATAATAACATAATAATCGATTTTAAATTCACATTTGTAAGCTAGCTACTCACTTCTATAAATTCATTAGTTATTAAATATTAATAATAACATTTATTTATAAATTTATGACAATATCAATGATTGAATATTTTTATTCATGTTGTGATTTAAATCCGTTTTGAAAATGTTATATTGTGTTTTATACAATATACTTGGATGTAAAAAAAAACATTTAGTGGGGGCCCTCAATTTGTGGAGGCCCGGGGCCCCCTGGGCCCCCCCTAAATCCGGCCCTGGCTTGGGGGGATGGCTAAGCCGTGAAACTATACCAGGCTTTTGCCTCTACTAGTGGATGGATGTTTAGGAAGGTGGTTTTAAATTTGTTGGTCAACCCATGTCAACTGGTAGGGTTTGATTCTACACTTTGTGGTTGGAGGGGTGTGAGATTTCCCTAAGAGTCGGATGTGGGCATGAATAGAGAAAGAGTTTTTGTAGAACATCGATTTGGATTGGCTATGAATAGAATTTTTGATAGACTTGAAATTTGCTGATTTTAGAAGGACCGAGTTTTTTTAGTTGTTACCTATTATTTGCAATAGTTAAATAGGTATAACTTATATTTATAAATATTTTAACCTTGTTTTGAACTTTTAGTTCTTAGCTATAAAAATTTAAAATTATATACATTTTTAAATACAAAATAATTTGATAATATTTGATCGATTATGATGGATTTTGTCAAAATTTGAATTTAAAATGCTTATAAAAAAATTTTGCCTTTAATCTTTATATGTATGTTCATTAATTTTGAACTTCTGATATGGGTAAATTTTCAAGATTTTGACTCAGCAAAAAATTGTTTAACATCCATAGTTAAAAAAAAAAATCGAAAATCAGGTTTTAGTGTTGTAATTTATCATTTTTGTTCATTGTTTTTTCCGACGTTTGAAATTTTGATGGCCTCCAACAATTTCCAGGTTCCTGATGTGGGACCATTGAAAATATTAATTGGTGACCCCTATATATTATATTATGTACTAGCTACTTAAAACTTAAAACTTCTGGTACGATTTCACAGTTTTTTGATTTCATACCTAAATACTATAAGTTCAAAAAAATGGGCATATTTTACAATATTACAATATTAGCATACCCGCATTGATTTATTTTTCTTAATAATGACATCAGCTACTGGCAGTATACGTCTTTGATTTGTTGAACTTTTTCAGTATCCTTTTTTGATAGATTTTATATTTTTTAATAGATCTATATATTTTGGGTTTTTAAAATGTTGAGCAATGAAAAAATACCTAATAACTGGTTCACATTTGAACCCTAACTATTATTAGGTAATAACTGAACATAAATGGACATATTTAATTTTTTTTTTTTCATTTATATTGTCACACTCTGTGTCTCTGTATACTAGATACGTTATACGAATATACATAATTATTAATCTGAATGTTTACATGGTTTTCTAATCATTAAAATTGTATTTGACTATAATCCGACTAATAGGTACCTAGTTTATTATTTCTATGATTAATTAATAGTTAGGTTAACTGTTTAAGTCTTGCTAATACCAAATAACATAACGTACATAGTCCAATATAATTTTTCTATATTTCTGAAACTTTAATTTTCTAAAATAAACAAGTATCTGTATTAAATCCTCTCAAAATCACCTTTTAAATATGACGATCAAGTTACTTAAATATTTGATTTTATCGATGTGGCAACGACCAACAAATGATTCAATATACACTAATCTGTATATACCATTATATATTTTACTACTCAGTACTATTGCTATATTAAGGATTGTAATATTGTATACAATTTGTTGATATGTCAAATGTTACTAGTATTATATAATACATTTGGCAAGAATTTAAACTG